CATGGCGAAGCCACCGAACAGCATGTGGTGCTTCTGGGGGAGCGCGGCCAACACGCTCTCCATGAGATCTTGGCGGTCAATGACACCCTCGAGCCGTCGCTGGAGAACGTTGTCCACCTCCTGGAGTCTGACAAGCTGATCACCGAAATGCTTCTCCAGGGCTTTGAGCTCGTAGGCATTGGACGCGGCGAGCCGATCGAACTTGTCATCGATTCGCTGCCGATCGTATTCTTGACGTGTGCGGAGGCCACTGAGGTCTTCCTGCATTGTCGTGTGCACCACGCGGATTGCTTCGATCGCGTCAGCGTTGACTGCGAATCGCTCCGAATTGACTGCGTTGCCGGTCAAGGCCTCGAGAGCGCGCTTGTCGGCCAGGTTGGCGAGCTCCGAGAGATCGGCCCACTTCTTGCTGAGGCTCTTTTTTCCCTGCTCGAACTCCTTCTTGAAGATACGTCTCTGGATGACCTCCTGGTCCTGAACGAGAATGGTTCGCAGAATTCTGGCCTTCCTCCACTTCGCGTTGAAGTCGTCGCCGCCGTCCTGGTCGCTTTCAAGCGGTCCGATACCATGCTCATCGTTGGCCTGGCATCCGGTAAGTACTGAAACATGAGTTTCAAGCATCAAAACAGTTGTAACTGACCTCAGGCTGGACAGCAGCATGGATGAATTCATCCGAAATGCTGATATCCATGATGTTGGACTTGTCCTGTGTCTTCGACGTTCCCGAAGCACGTCTCGTGCTTGGTTAGAGCAGAGACACTTCTCCAGAAACACACATTGAAGTGATTGTGCCGGGTGTGACTCAGACAAAACACGGCGAACCCCCCGAAACAGGAGATTGGGGGACCGCCTCAGAACCTGTTGCCCGTGACCACCATCGGGGCAGTCCAGAGTATGGCATTAACCGTGCTGGACCAACCCGAATCCCCCAAAGGGAATTGAGGCAGGGATCTTTGCACCGTCGAGACTGAAGGTTGGCGCCCCAGCCCAGTGTAGGGTGGTTTGCAGCGACCAAGCATGCCTCAGCCTTTCCGGGCTCCCGACCATCCCTTTCTTAGGGCCCAGCAGAGCAAGACTGACAGACCAGCGTGAAGACGGGCAAGAAAATCGAGATCGGGTCCTCAAACAAAGTGAAATGCGGGCTTACCTCGGTGGCAGAGTCGTCGGGGGAGGGATGGGCGTCACCCTCATCAGCGGCGCGGTTGCCGAGGCCGAGGCCAGGAATCAAGCTGGGTGGAGTCGAAGGCATCTCGAAGTCGATGGTTGCGATCAAATCGATAGATGGGGATTTGTTGTTGAGTCGCAAAGTGGTGACGGTTCGCGACGCTGAATTTCCTCAACCTTCAACCGCGTTTGGTGGTTAGCTGGTTGGACGGCTTGGGAGAAGATGAAAGGAGAAGATTGAGGAGGGTAAAGGAGAGAGAAAACGGCGAAGTTTGCTTTGTTTTTTTGGGGGGCCGCCTCGAAGAGGAGTGTCACGCGTGGGACGCGTATCGAGGCGAGAAACGCACTGGTGAAAGCGCGCGTCTGGACGGGGAGGTTGGGATGGAGAGCGGGAAGGGAAGTCGCGGAGCAGCTTGGGCAGAAAAGGATATTCAACGGCGCCTTCCATCCAAAGGACGTTGCGACTCATGAAAGCCGAACAGAATGAGAAAGACAAACTTACATAGATCTTGGGCAACGAGGGGCAGAAAATGGGCAGAGTGGCGACGGAAGTTGAAGTGAATGGCCTCGCTCCGCAGCCCATTCCTCGCGAATGGATCTGGCGTCGCTCAGAGAAGAAGAAGAAAATCAATTATCAGTCGGCCAGGCGGTCGATGTTGATGGGCAAGTGAGAGGAAGACCAGTGGCCATGACCAGACGGGGTTAGGAGCTTCAAGGTGAGGCCTGAGGCGGCCGTAGGAGTCGACGCGGTGCCGTGGCAACGCGGAGATGGAGGACTGGTTGCGCGTGGATAGGTAAGTAGGTAGGTAGGTAGGTAGGTAGGTAGGTAGGTAGCTGGGTGGGAAAGCTTCTGCCTGAACGATTGGACGGTTGCGACCGTCCTATGGTCTCCCGGCCGTCCCTTGCTTGGGGTGAACAAGTCAAAATGCGTCCAAGAAAGCAGACTCGGCCTTATTTAAGGAAGGAGCGGTCGATCTGGATTTTCACCAATAAAGAGTCAAGCGAGCTTTTCACGGCAGACCATCATATCAGAAACTTGCATTTACTTGATGATTTTTCTGCTGTCTCCCCGCGATCTCAACACATAGCTTTGGTGTTGTCCAGATATACGTTACGTAGGTGCCTACTCGTGGCGGCGGACATCCTTGATCGCAATGATGAAGGCCATGTCGATGATGAGAATAAGACCGGCCATAACCGCGAAGAGCCAAATGACCCGATCTAGGTGATCAACGCGCTTTTCGAGATCGTCGAGGCGCAGCTTCACGAGATCATACTCATCGTCATGTTCAAACTCCAGCCACTCCGCTGTCTGCTCGCGACGCTTCTCTCGCTCTTCGTGGCGCTTCTCTCTCTCTTCATGACGCTTCTCCCGCTCCTCGTGGCGCTTCTCCCTCAGCTCATGGACCTCCTCTCTGTGCTTCTGCTGGTCAAGAAAGTCCTTGATGGCGGTGCCGACGGGTTGGCTAGCGTTGGTGTTCTCATGGATGACGGTGGAGCTGCTCTTTGGGAGTCTCTGGGCTCTTTGGAAGACTTTGATGGCGAGCATCTCCTGCTGGTCATCAAGCGGCTCCTTGCCGAACTCGAGTCGCTCCTGATTTATCTCCGCTAGCATATCGGCGAGGCCCACGGTAGGGCCGCGAAGGTCCTGGCAAGTGTCACTGCTGGTGTTGGTGAGGTAGCCCTGTATGACAGAAAACGAAAGTCAGCTTAGTATTTCGTAGCAAGATATTTCCATCTCTTGATTTTGAGACGGCGTCCCAGTAGGGTGTGGCGCAGACGTACCTCAGTGCTGGTCGACTGACGGCGATCACGACGACGGTAGCCAGCCTGGTTATCCAGGCGGCCAAAGCCTGAGAACTCAGACTGGTTAACTTGATCTTCCTGCATGGTGAACTTGTCGTCTGAGGTCGTCTTTCTGGGGTTCGGTGGCTCAGATCATGACTTCCAAAGTCAACAGATGCGTGGTGCTTAGCTAAGACTTAAGGGACTCAGAATCTGTGATGGCGCGGTTGAGAAACTTGAATAACTGGTCAAAGGAAGGGGATTTTCTGACTGGCCGTCAGCTTCTGGTGCGAGGAATTTACTTGCTGTGTGCAACTTCACTCGGAGGGCAGAAGACAAAGGTGAAGATGGAGGGAGAGGGTGGTGGCAGTCCAAGGGCAGAACAAAAGGAGGTCGGTCCACCACATAAAGGCCGCTGCCTGGTACCCAAGCAGAAGGAGCTAGAAGTTGAATATCTTAAGTAAAACTCCAGTGCCTATGACGTAAGCAGAGTAAACAAAGCTCTGTAATATGCTCAAGACGCGTGAGAGATGCTGAAGGTGAAATACCAAGTGGGTCCACGCAAGAGAGAAGTCACACTGATTTCCTCTCAAAGGAGTGCGTTCACCTCCATCACAAGTTTAGACCAAGGACAGTTGACTTTGCCGTCTCATTGTTTTTCCTTGCCGCCTTCCTCCCATCTCAGTTTCAGGCCACCACCGGGATCCCAAAAACAAACTTCATCTGGTCCTACTATCACCTGCCTCACTCCCAGTCGTCACTAGACAATATTGCTATTGCCAACTTCACTGTCATCAGGTACGTGCAAACTTTCATCTGGTCATTCATCTTCCCTCAAGATAACGCGCAGTCCCATATTATATTTATCACCCATTGCTGACACGCAGAACAGCACCATGACCCAGATCAATGGCTCCGAGAACAAGGGACCTGCCCGAGGCAGGGAGAAGACCATGGAAGACTATGCTTAGGAAGCTTTTGTCGCTGTAAATCTCCGCATGGCTCAGAATGTCGGTATTCTTCTTTTCCACTGAACCTGCCAATGGCTGACTGATCCGCAGGGCACCCCCCGTGCTCAGTCAGAGGTAGCTGCCCGCGTCATCGCTCATCTGCGCGACTTGCTCGACCGTCAGTGTGCCCAGATGGTCGCCCAAGAGATTTCCCATCAGCAACAGATTGCCGAGCTCAACGACAACTTCCGCAAGCAGTTGATGGAGCAGCAAGTCGTCGCCAAGGCCGAGATCAACCGTGCCTGGGAGCTTTGCGACACTCAGATGGCGGCAGTGGCCGACTTAATGGCTGAGCGGAACAAGAAGCAGAAGTAGGAGATGGGTGATTAGCGATGCTATGGTATCGACAATGGCACCGATGGGAGGCCGGCTGTGGTCTGAACAACCTTCTCTGTTAGCAACAAGTAGTAGTCGCACTACACATGAATACAGAGGAAGAACCTTCCAATACTCAGCTGTTTTCAAGTTTTCGCATATTCCTGAGGCACGTTTTTTCCATCCATTCCGCCTCCCAATGCCGACCTTGCTGGTTTCGGCTGGTACTCTCGCCTTCGAGATACCTCTTGGAATAAATCACAAAGGTGCAAGGCGTCATCCTACCATAGTAGTCTTGGTACCGTGTCCAGCAGTGTGGACCAAAACCCACACATGTCTGCTTCAGACCCAACCTTGGAAATCTGGAAGGAACCCTTCAACGTTCGCTGCATCCATGGTGAACTTTGAAAAGCCACCTTTGCAACCAAGTCAAAGGTTCTATAAAACGACGCGAACTTTTACACAGACGCCTGTCTTTTTCTTCTTCTCTGCACATCCGCAACGCAATTTCGCAACTCCATTTCCCTGCTTTCTCCTTCCGTAAGTGCCGTCTCAACGCCTTTTTGATATCAGGACAACAGATCCCATACGGCAATACGCCTAGAGCTTGAATTATCTTCTTCGCAGAAATCCTTGCTAACGAACCTCGTATTTAGATTGCCCCGCCCCAGCATACGGATACCCGAAACGAGATTGAAAAAAAGAGGTTTCTCACAGATGAGCAAGATGGAGACCCTCAACGACTTCGAAATCATCGATGTGCCCAAGTACACCGAGGCCCAGCTTGCGGCCAAGATTGCCGCCAAAGACCAAGACATCGCCGCGCTGAAGCGACGACACGAGGCCGAGTGCATCGAAATCGAACTTGCCAAGCTTTCAGAGGAGAACGAAGAGATTGCCGCGCTGAAGGAAGCGCAGGAAGCTGTGGTCGACAAATATAAGGAAATCCACGCCCTTAAGATGGCTCAGAAGAACACCGAAATCGCCGCGCTCGAGCAACAATACAACAACGAGCGCGCCGAAGCAGACGCTTTGATTGCTGAGAAGGACAAAGAAATGGCCGCGCTCCAGCAACAATACGACGACGATTGCGACAAAGTAGACGCTTTGTTGGCTGAGAAAGACGAAGAAATCGCCAAGAAGAACGACGAAATTGCCGAGAAGAACCAGGAGATTGCCCATAAAAACGACGAGATCGCTGAGATGGACGAAGAAATTAATGAGATGTATGACGAACTGTTTGAGAAGACCGACCAAATCACTGAGAGGGACGAAGAGATTGCCAACAAGAACGACGAAATTGATAGGATGCACGAAGATATTGTTCGGAGAAACGGAATAATTGCTGATCAAAACGACGAACTCATTGAGAAGAGCCAAGAAATTACCGACAAGAACGATGAAATTGCTAAGAAGACCGAAGAAATCGCTGAGAAGAACCAAGAGATTACCGATCTGAACCATCAAATCGCTAAAAAGAACGAGGAGGTTTTCAAGAAGAACGAAAAAATCGTTCAGGGGAACGAAGAGATTAAAAACATGGAAATTGAAATTGACAGGATACGCAAAAGATTGAGCGGAGTAATTGCCGATAAAGATGACAAACTTATCAAGAAGAATCGAGAGATTGCCGCCAAGGACGAAGAGATTGCTACGCAGAAGCGACAGAAGGAAGCTGTATGCCGCAAGTACATGAAAATCTACACCGATGCGTTGGCCCAGAAGAACCGAGAAATCGCCACGATGAGGAAAGAGCACCAAGCCGGAATCGCCAAGTGCATCGAAGACGCAGCCGCCAAGCGCGCCGAAGAGCTTGAGAGATTCCAACACAATGCTCAAGAATCTCTCGACCAACACGAAAAGGAAAGCGAGGAATCCCAGAAGCTCATCCACAGCATCATCAATGCTCAGCTGGCCGAAAGCAAGGGCAAGCTCATCAAGGAGCGCTCAGATGCTGCGGAGCTGAGACGTAAGCTTGAAGAGGAGCGTTCGACTTCTACGAAACTGCGAAATGAGCTTGAAACCCAACGGAGCGAAAGCAGTGCTGCCGCGAGCGCTCTTGAGAAGAAACGCAAGGAGTACGCCGAGTCTCTTAAATTCGACATTCAGAAGCCGGAACTTGCGCGGTCAAACTATTGTAGTTATGATGACGACGACGACGACGACATGAGCTTTGGTCTCTTTGATTAGCGCGTCTTCGTGTTAGATATATCTAGTGGGGCGCAACACCTAGACTCATCCATGCCAAAGTGCGATGATCACAGGTTTCTAAGCCACTTCGCCCTTCAAATGCGTCGCATGAGACAATCGCTCTGAACAATAGCCTTCTGGCAACGTATTTAGCTTGTTCAGGACGGCCCGGAGCAACACACCAAAGTTTGCTTGCTTGACTGCTTTCCGAAAGGATGGGTTGATGAACGATAATTAGTGATAGTAATTCAACCATACATATCCTACGCAAACATTCTTCCAATCATCGTTGCGGCTCAGGCCAGACGTTGGCAGAGCGCTTCCCAGCAATGACGTTCACAAGGACTTGTCTGTGAGGTCTTTAGCATCATTCGAAGACATGAACATGACTTATTACAAACAGATGCCACAGGCTGGCCAAACGAGAGAAGCAGCATGATTTTCGACTCGACGATAGAAGGACAGATATTTCACTTGAACAAACCCTTTGGAGGTTTACAACAGCAAAAGTGTCATCTTCAGAGGCCATCCGCCAAATGCTAACAGCGCCGCATACATGCTCATCCGCGCCACCCAAAATCGAGTGCTGCCTTTGAGATTTTTCATGAGAGATATCAGTTTGGCGCAGTCTTCAATCTGTGTTCTGAATAATTACAGGAACGGACAGGACGGATATGATGGTAGGAGGCGTCGCCGGTGGAACCGGACTAGACTATCATTAACTCCGGACCGTGCCGCACAGCTGCGGGTTAGTACCGGTGCCGCTCCGGCGTCTTCCTCTTGATATTTGGAGCAACTTTCGCTCACACGAGCCATTTCGAAAACAAAATTCGCTTGACAAGCCATCGCCTTCTGCTCCATACTCCATATCGAATTGCAAGCCTCATCTGCTTTCCAACCACCGCAACCGCCACGGCTGCAGCAGACAAGAAGCTCGTTTTTATCACCGGTAAGTCCTTTTCATGAGTACATGAAGCCAACCACTGACACGAGAACAATCTAAAGGTGGAAACCAAGGTGTGGGCTACGAGACGGCTAAGAATTTGCTGCTCTCCTCTGCCGATTACCATGTGATTCTCGGAAGTCGCGATTCGACCAAGGGCGACAAGGCTGCGGTGGATTTGCTGTCCACTTCTGGAGTCAAAGGCACCGCTTCTTTCGTGCATATAGACGTAACAGACGACGCTTCCATCAACGCAGCGGCGAGCAAAGTCAAGTCCGAATACGGGCGTCTCGATATCCTCGTCAACAATGCTGGTATCATATCTATGGCCAGCCCGCCTACCACTTCAGCTTTTCGAAGAGTGCTGGATACGAACGTCGTCGGAGCTCTAGGCGTAACCGAGGCGTTCTTGCCTCTCCTCAAGAAGGCTGCGCACACGCCCCCACGTCTTGTCTTCGTCAGCTCCAGCATGGGATCCATCACTCACGCCGCCGACCCCTCTTCTCCCTATTACAACCATCACGGCACAGAATACCGAGTCAGCAAGGCCGCAGTCAATATGCTCTTGAGCATGTACGCTGCTCGCCTGAAGCCTGACGGATTCCTTGTGCTCGGTGCCGATCCGGGATTGTGCGCTACCAACTTCACTGGCGATCCCACCTCTTTGAAGAATAGAGGTGCCGCGGAGCCGTCTGATGGGGGTGAACGCGTTGCTACTGTAATCAGGGGCGAGAAGGACGAAAATGCCGGCCGCGTGGTTGGGGTTTATGGAGTGTGTCCCTGGTAACGCGTCAATATTAACGAATGACGAGAATTGCGTGGTGGAAATGCTAATCCCGGTGTTGTATACAACGTGTCTCCGTCTCGGTTCAAGATTCGAATCTTCGGTTTGAGAGTGACGCATCGCACCTATTGACCAGCGGTCTCAACTTTGCTCGTAGAATATGATGTGACGATGTGAGGCCTTGAGCATTTCTTTCGAGGAGTGCCGCGCAAAATTACGGTAACCAAGATTCCGTACGTGAGCTCGAAGCGTCAAGATGTCGCGTGTTGTTCGCGCTTGGTCATGCCGAGGTGAAAGAGAAAGTCGTTCGCGCTGGCAGCGAGGCCGATCCGAGGAGCAGACCATCTTGCGCTGGCGCGCGATGACTGGCTAGCAGCAAATCAGCCAAGGTCCTCCACGATATTAGTGGTTTAGACGCAAGCGGCCGCGGGGGCTCGTACGGGGTCGAGCGAGCGAAAACGCTTTTGGCGAAGCAGTCAACCAACCCAGCGCCCTGGGCGATGCAGTCAGCACCGACTTCATGATCCAGGAGATTTACAAGGTCTTCAGTTCCATGCTGGAGGAAGAGGATTAGGCCAGCAGGCCCTTGACGTTGAGACAAGTCGGAGTGTACTCCCTTTGACGATGGAGCTGATGCGTTGGTCGTAACATGCGTCCGGGCTGGAGACAAGATCTTGGGCACGAGAACCCTTAAGGAAATTGGCGTTGTCGCAGTGTAGGGGTGAAGACGATGCTTACCCAACCCGAGAAGGCTTAGATCATGCACTTACATCGAGCGAGTTTGAAGACACACGTCAATGGTGACATTGAGTGATCTATTAGTGTGGATGGTGGCATGTAAGTCAGCTGAGTGACGGCGAAGATATCATGGGCGACCCGGAAACCACTCCAGCTAGGTACTGACCGCAACGAACGTCGATGGGGCTGGACGTGCTGAGGTCTCCCCTCTACCAGCTGGCTGGCCCGTCAGTGAGACCGCCGTAGCTTGAAGCTGGAGATGGATAGAGGTGTGGCCAGCAGCAGCGCACCTGTGGGCGAGAGGTAGGCGCCCCACCCGCTCCTTCTCTCCTTCTCTCCTTCTCTTCTTTCCTCCCTCCTTCCTCAGCGGTCCCGTCTCTCGTCTATTCTTCGTCCCATTCACCACAGCCTCAGCTATAAAATCCACCTCCCACTCGCTCAACCTCCGGAAAATATTTCCTTCTTCCCACAACAACACCAACAAAACCTTTCCATCCAGATCACAATACAATCAAGACACTTCCAAACTCTCCACGCCACCAACAAGGTAAGCTGCCTCTATCTGCCCACGCGCTTGCCTTTCGTGCCTCTGTTCAGAATCACCTTGCTAACGTTCAAACCTCTCTTGCGCGCGCAGACTCTCGTCCTCGCCAACCGACAAAATGCTGTTCACTGGCAAGAACAATCCTAAGTCAAGCGTGAGTACTGTCCTGTCTCTTTTACCCACGTCCTCTGTTCTCTTTTGTTCCTGTCCTTCATTCCTGCCGTCTGCCTTTGTCGCCATTTTATTCGGATCAAACACTCACAAGATGGATGCAAAGCAGGAAAGACTTGACGATTACGAACTTATCTACATCCCTCAGTGGTCCCAAGACCAACTTGACAAAATGGTCCGCGAGGCCCGCGCCTCACTCACCAAGGAGCTTCAGATTGAGTTCCAAGCCAAGACCGATCAGATCAAGGCCACTCATGAACGCGTCTTGAACTCCAAGGTCATTGACCTCAAGTCGCAACACGAGGTCAAGGCTTACGAGATGACTCGGATCCACGACAAGAACGTCGCTGCCCTCAAGGACCAGATCGCGACACTCGTCAAGGAGCAGGAAGGCCTTAAGAAGCAGCTGGCCGCCTCCAAGGAAGCTTACAAGCGCATTGAGAACCGCCTAGCCAATGAGTTTATCAAGAACTAGTGGTGGATCGTCTTGGGAGACTTCAACTTAGCCGGGCGTTTGGGGTTGTCACACGTGGTAAAAGGGCATGGAGTTGGGGTTTTGCATCTACTACATAGGCAGTGGAGGTTGACAACTTGACCGCAAGAATACACACAGCAAGCTTCTGTCACGCAAGAAATTGGCTGCTGGCCACATTGTTACCCAAGTGACATGCTGACACCAAAGACTTGCAAACATTGATGATATTTGGTTAAAGCCAGCTCACAGTCCTTTCTTTGCTCTGAAAAAGCCCCTCGTTCTTTGCTGTTGAACAAAAGAAGGATGACAAAACCTCGGATCAAAGACCCCCAGCAAGCAGGAGCGCCCAAAGTGTCTGGGTTGAATGACAGATCGGAAATACATATGGTGTACCCATTCATCCCGTTCTACTCAACTGCGCCTGAAGGCTCGATTCAGTATCAAGTGGGATGAAGTCGGACGTTGTCGCGGACGAACACCAAGCCGGAGCCGGAGTGGAGGAAGGAGACATGGGGTGGAGGTACACACGGCGATGTACCTTCCCTAACCCGACCGCTCCAGACTTTTAGGCGGTGACCCGATCTGGCACCCCTGCACCTCCACACCGAGGTCGGCGGGGCAGTTTTCTCGGTGAACAACAATTTTATTTTCCCATCCCGCCCGCCTCAGCCAGCATCCTCATCACAGCCCGGCAAAACGAAAAGACCACCAAGATACTCCCGACACTCGTTCAACCACCCCAACCACCGTCCAATTGAGCAGGATATGCTCAAACCCCCTTCATGATGGCGTCCCACGAACAAAACATGCCGTTTATCAAAAACCTCGCCTCTAGCGGTTCGTCCATCTCCCGCGTCGCAAAGCTATACCCGCCTTGAAAGACATCCCAAGCTGACCAAACTGCCCCCTTCAACAGACCGCAAACTCCGAACCCAGGCCCTGACCTCCCTCCAAACCTTCCTCGGCTCCCACCGCTCCCTCACCCGCATCGACGCCCTCAAGCTGTGGAAGGGCCTCTTCTACGCAATGTGGATGTGCGACCGCGCCGTCCCGCAACAGAACCTCGCCGCCGAGCTCGCCTCCCTGACCGCCTGCCTCCAGAACGCCGACGTCCGCGCCTGGCTCTCCGCCTTCTACGAGACAATGTCCAAGAACTGGACCGACATCGACGTCCTGCGCATGGAAAAGTTCCTCCTCCTCGTCCGCCGCACCTTCGCCTCGGGCCTGACCTGGGTCAAGGAGGGCGACTACGCCGAGGGGCGCGCCGACGCGCTCGCGGGCGTGCTGGCCGAGTGGCCCTTCGAGGTCGAGGGCGACCTGCGCAAGGTGCCCATCGGCCTGCGCCTGCACGGCGTGGACATCTGGGTCGACGAGCTCGAGAGGACGGAGATTATCAAGGAGGACGCCAGCGAGAAGGCTGTCGCGTTCGCCAAGAGGGTCAGCAAGCTCGTCGAGCCGTTGAAGAGGTCGCCCATCAAGACTGTCCGCGTCAAGGCGGCCGAGTCGCTGGAGGACGACAGGCTGCCTTGGGTCGAGTCCCAGGAGGAGGACAAGGACGGCGCGGAAGAGGAGGACGACGGCGAGTGGGGTGGCTTTGACGACAAATGAGCAGGCTGCAGCATGACTTAGATCTTGTCTTTGCATTGTATGGTGAACACGGCGTTTTTGGGTCTAGAACGGGAGGCGGCAAAATCACTTGGTATTGATCTGGGACTGCTTCAGAGGGGTGATGGGGACCGAAAAGAAAAGCAATTGTATGTGCTCAACGCTGTTCTATAGTATACATTGATATCCAATCGCTGCATTGCCGGCCGGGGCATGTCTTGGCCCGGCGGCGACGGTAACGCTTCTTCCCATCTTGGTCTATCTGGGTATCTCGACTTTTTGAAAAACACTGCTCCCTACCGCTATTACCTCAGCCACTGCTGACCGTCAAAAGTAATCTTGAAAAAGTAACTGGAAAACGTGAGGCAAGCCACTATGCCATTGATGAAGGCGTGCAATTGTCTGCGGACGGCCTGGGCGACCCAAGCCACGGCTCGCGCCGTCACATCGATCGGTGCCACAACACCTAGTGCAACGAAAAGGGCTGCCTTCTTGCAGGTGGCTTCCTACGCCATGATCCTGTTACCGATAGTGATCTTGTCCCAGTTCGTGGGGCCTGCTGCCTCGTAACCGCCGCGCTTCGAGATGACCTTGCCGAGGCCCTGGTGGATCTCTGCTTGGAACGGCTCGAAGGGCACCTTTTCGCCGTCAATGCTGATGTAACCGTCCTTCTGGTTGCGCGGGGTGATGCGGTAGGCCGTAATCTTCTTGTACGAGACGAGGGGGTTGTCGAAGAACTGGCCGTTCTCCACTGACAACAGCATGCTCAGTTGGGAGCCGACCGACACATCGCCGTCTACACAAACAAGGTCCATGAGGCCGTCGTTGGCGCAGGCTGCAGCAAAGAAGTTGGCATCGGCTGCCATGTAGGCCATCTAGATCCAGTTAGCAACTGCGCGTTGTGAGGTTGGGAAGTAAACCTACGTTTCCACAGTAGAAATTGCCCATAGTGTCACTGGAAATCGACTCCCATCCCTCCGGAAGGGCATCATTGATTGTACCATAACGCAGAGGCGGCAAACCTTGATGGGTATCTGGGCTCGACCCTGATTCGACAGATGCAGCATTGGGACCCTCGCCCAAATTTGTTGCCGATGCGTTGCTCATCTTTTGCCTGTAATGCTCCTTGACCCCATGCTTATCCTCAATCTCGACCTTCACAGCAAGATCGCAAGGGTAGCACTTCTTCTGGAAGATCCTTTGCAAGAAGCCAACTGTGAATCGCGCGCCGCCCATCCATCGCAAGTGCTCCGTCCCCAGATCGCTCTCAGCTACAACGCCGAGGGCCTGGCTCAAGAAGCTCAGCAACCGCCTATCCCCTTGCGTGATGCTGACGAGGTCAAAGGGCGTTTCAACTCCCTTGATGATGGCAAGCGCGGCCAACGAGGGCCGGTATGTACCGTAGAGGTTGCAGCTCATTGCATTGCCAGAACCACAAGGAATATGCGAGACAGCAATGGTCTGTAGAGCATGGAACGCGTCGGGGCGGTTGCCGAGTCCGTTGAAGACCTCGTGGGCCAGACCGTCGCCAGAGCAGGTAACAATGGTGTCGAAGGCGTCCACGTCGATGGTCTGCGCAATATCCACAGCTTGACCCTGGCGTTCCGTCTTGACCACATCGATTGGCATACGCGCCGCCTTAAACAGAGGTTCACAGTCTACATCCCACTTCTTCTGCGCGCCTCCTGGACCGGCGTGAGGGTTCACTAGGACCTTGGCCCTCTTGCATCGCTTCGCCGGCCCGTACGCTCTGGTCAGGAGGTTGTCGGCCCATGTCTTGACGTCGGGGGTGTCGGCATCGGCGACGTGAAAGATCCACTGCGCAGCTTGCACTCTGTGCTTGCCAACATATTTGGCGTAATCGATAGTGAGGGTCTGGTCGGCGAATTCGACCCACAGGACGTTGTAAAGGGGGATTGTGGACGTCGGTGGTGCTGCTATGAGAGAGGGGGTTAGCTACGGCAGACTGACAATTCGGCTCGGGCAGGAGTGCCTACCTGGTGCGCCGAAGGAGGCGAAACTGCACGTACGACTGGTCTTCTTTGCTGTCGGGTCTTTGGACAGTCAGCGTCTCAGGCGCATCACGAAGCTACAGATCAACGCACCATTCAGGACGAGGTTCTCCGAGTCCAAGACAAGGGACTTGACGCCGTCGACTTTGATGACATCGGGCAGACCCCCTCGCGAAGCGGGTTTGCCGTAGGACTGGGAGGACTCGGAAATGGACTCGGGTACGGTCTGGGGGCTGCTCTGGTTGTTCGCCATGGCGGTGGTATCTCGACGGGCTCCGCGGAGCGCACTTCACATGCTACTGTGGACAAGGGGCGCGGTACGGACGGGGCTCTCTCTCGGACGGGCTCGAACGATTCGGCGGTCTCAATAAGGATTTCGTATTTCTAGAAGCTGGACGGCGGGACGAAGAGGAGATTGAAGCGACAGACGAGAACAGAAGAATAGTAGTTTGACGTGGTGGTGAGGGGGTAGAAGGGAGCGATCAGTGTTAGCAGCGACGAGGCATTGTCAGTTATCGACTTTTTTTCCTCGGGGGTCCTTGCTCGCTGGTTATCGTCCAGTTGCGTGCGTCTTGTAACTGCAGCTGTCGCGTCGGGGGCCGTCGCAGTTCCTCTCGAGCATGAATGATCCAGGGAGGAAAAAGGAATGAGGTCAAATCCGGGGGAGGGAGGAGGAGGAAGAGGCGAGGACAAAAGGGCGCCGAGCGCAGGAGCAACGCCGGCACAGGAACAGGTCAGAAGGAGCAGGAGCAAGTGCAAGTGCAAGTGCAGGTGCAGGTCCCGAGGCAGGAGACACTTGGAGCAGCAGCATCGCGGTGGAAGTGGAAGGCGCCAGGCCAAACAGAGACTGGTCTGCGCGTGGAAGGCGCCCTGGTGGGTGGCACGGTGGCACGGATGGATCGGAGATTGAGACGCGGACGGGGAAAGGGCGCCCTTCGTAGCGGTAGGGAACGACTTTTAGTGACGTCCCTCGGTAAGCGTAGCGGGCAGTGTGGGCCACGGTATCCTGCTAGCAGCACCTGAGGGCGCAGACACGAAGGCAAGGTACCTTTAGCTGTGATAAGCACCGGCACGAGGCACACGGATGCAGCATTGGCACCTCAGCATAAGGTAGCACGTCCTGCAGCGTGTCCAGTGACTCTCATGCGCCGGGCCCGCGGCGTCCGTGCCGTCGTTTGTCCTGGTCCAGGTCTTCTACCTACCTAGTCCAGGTCTTGCAGATGCAGAAGAAGCAACAAGCTGTTCCTGGAACTGGAGAATAACCCCCTTGTCAAACTCCAACCAAGAGTCCAGCCCAGGAACAGAAGAGTTGCTCCTCTTCGGCCAGGGAGAAAAGAAGGCACCGCCTAAGTAAGTAAGCACCTTGTCGACCTCGGTGGTGTG